TTGCGGCTACGGTGTAAGATAGATCCGACCCCCCCTCCTTCTAGCGCCAAACTGTGGGTGTCGATTTCCACCTACTGTCAAATAATCGTAAATAAGGAAACTTCGGGAAAACCCTAAGTTTCCAGAGGAACCGGCTATCTGCAGAACCGCACAACGAAGATTAAGATAACGAGAAAACTTAGAATTATTAAAAGATAAACGAAAATCGAGAGCAAAGAGGTTCTTATTCCGAATCTGCGTTGAACTGGTAAAAGAGAGTAGCCGAAAACTTAAGAACAAAAAACCCTAATTGAGACGCAGCTCGCTAACAGAAAAACGGAAAGATTCCTAAATGCTAGTTTTGGTGGTGAGAGCTCTGAATTCCGTGTCTAGTGCTTCTGCCCTAGACCTCCTATTTATATACTCCTCGCCTTGGCTATCCGATCTTTCCATTTCGCCCAGATTTGACTAAATCGGGAATTTTCCATTCTTCTCGATCCTTCCTTTTCTTCCGCGGAAATCTTCTATTTTTCTTCAAACCTTCCTTTTATCTTTAAACTTGACTTTTATTTTCCTTCTGCGAGTAAACCGTCAAAACGTTATCAAATCGGCGGGTTAGATTCCGTTGAAATCGCGAGATGGGTTTTTATCGCGTTTTAGGTCCTTCCGGGCCGTTTTGCGATAAATCCTTTTTCCGACTTTTTACGGAATCGTTTCCTGATCTGACGTCGTTTTAATAAATTACTCGAGTTAATCGCAAGGTTTTACGATTTACTCGACATTTTATTAAAAACACGTTTTTTACGACTTACTCGGCGTTTTTTATTAAAAACGCGTTTTTATGATTTTAACGAGAAATCTCGAATAAATCGTATAGTTTAGGCAATGTTCGGTGTTTCGTTTAACCGTTCCGTTTTATACGATTTCCTCGAGTTTTTTCCGAGAAAGCGAAGTTTTACGGTTTTTATCGTAAAACTCGAACGGTAAGTCGGATCGAGATGGAACGGGAGATGTTTTGGCCGTGGTTTAGAACGCGACCTTGTCGAAAGACGTAAGTTTCGAATCAGGAATGCGGAAGATCGAGACGCGGAGTATCCGGGAAGTCTCTAGTTCGCCCATCGGCGAACTAAGCCGGGCCGGCTTAGTTCGCCGATGGGCGAACTAGTTGATCACTTCCTAGTTCGCCCATCGGCGAACTAAGACGGGCCGGCTTAGTTCGCCGATGGGCGAACTAGAGAGTGCCTCTTAGTTCGCCGATGGGCGAACTAGATGGGTATCTCTTAGTTCGCCCATGGGCGAACTAGTTGCGACTAGTTCGCGTTTTACGACTATTTCGGTTTTTTGCGGTTTCGTAAAACGATTCTCGAGTTTTATAAAATGATCTTCGGATTTCATAAAACGACCTTCGAGTTTTATAAAACGATCTTCGAGTTTTATAAAACGATTCTCGAGTTTTATTAAACGATTTCTCGAGTTTTATAAAACGATCTTCGAGTTTTATAAAACGATCTTCGAGTTTTATAAAACGATCTTCGAGTTTTATAAAACGATTCTCGAGTTTTATAAAACGATTTCTCGAGTTTTATAAAACGATCTTCGAGTTTTATAAAACGATCTTTGAGTTTTATAAAACGATTCTTGAGTTTTATAAAACGATTTCTCGAGTTTTATAAAACGATCTTCGAGTTTTATAAAACGATCTTTGAGTTTTATAAAACGATTCTCGAGTTTTATAAAATGATTCTTAGGTTTTATAAAAAGATCTTCGAGTTTTACAAAACGATCTTCGAGTTTTATAAAACGATCTTCGAGTTTTATAAAACGATCTTTCGAGTTTTATAAAACGGTCTGCGATTTTTATAAATGACTTTGAGTTTTATAAAACTATTCCTCGGGTTTTATAAAACTGTTCCTTTTGTATTTTCGTCGGGGAGTTTTGGTTATTAATTCCGTCGTACCGATTTTGACCCCAACACTTAGTTGATTTGGATAGACGGAGTTGTTCATGCGGGAAGTACAACCTGATGAAGATCCCATGTAGGCACGCAATTAAAGCTGGTTTTCATGTTGGCAGAGATCCACACACATTGACTGATTTGATGTACACGACAGGAGCTTGGAGAGAAGCTTATCAGGAAAGTATAAATCCTATTGCTGTTCCTGAGGATGCTTGGTCCATACCAGAAGATGTTAAGGCGATCAATGTGCTACCACCGGACACAAGAAAAGCAGCTGGAAGGACAAGAAAACGCAGATAAGAAACCGCTGAAGATAAAATTCTGTCCTCGAAAACATCAGAAGAGAAGCAGCCTCGGAAGTGTAGTAGATGTGGCATTAGTGGGCACAACAGGGCAACTTGTAGAGTACCAATATAGTCTTCCACAAGAGAAGCAGCTTTTCGTTCAATGATCTGTTTTTTGCTTCTTTGTTTTGAATCCTCGGTTTTACATTTTTATGTTCAAGGAATGATGTTTTCTGCTTCTATGTTTTGAACTTCTCGGCTTTTCAGTTTCATTGTGATACATTACAATCATGTTTATGATACTAAGAGCATAACATAAGAGAATAAAACAGAACACAAAGAACCACGGAAATCGACATATTCAGTGTAATCATCATATTAAGTGTGAGAAGAAAACTCAAAAACCACAAATTCGTTTAGAGAAACAATAGACTGATTCATTCCTGGCATCCCAATCTACCAAACATCCATAAGATGCTTTCTAAACAACCTAATTCAAGTGAATTCTTCTGCTACTTAACTTCTTTTTCAACTGTACTTTGCAAACTCTTTTTGAGATCTTCAATCTCTTGTGTAATTTCCAATTGCTGAGCATCTAGCCTTCGAATCTCATCAAGCAAAGCTTCATCTACCCACTTAAATAAATGATTTTCCTTCTTCCGCTACATTCAAACAAAGTTCAAGTTAGTACATCAGAATGAATTTCACTGCATCAGATCGAAAATCAAATCTGATTTTCGCTGCATCATATCGCAAATTTTTCCGAAAAACATCAAAGATACTAAAAAATAATACACAAGACAATAGAGGATATGAAGACAGTATAAATGGGGATTTGAATAAAAAAAAAAAATTGAAACGAAACCTGTGCTCCTATTTCGCATCTATAGAACCGCCGGAACAGATTCTCATCCGTTCTGCAATAGAATATCACAACCGCTCTCCCACACCAGCATCTTGACGGCACTCCCTGCGAAAATCGCCTTGTGTTGCTCATGATTGGAAAAAGACGGTTTCAGAAAGAAACGGAAAAGAGGCGGAAAGAAGATTAGAAGAAAAAAAAGGAAAAAAACGGGTTTGATTGTTATATATGTCGGGTTGTATTAGGTCACTTGTGGATCTAGTTTGGGTGGGTTTCGTTGGCTGTTGGATCCTATGTCGGGTTTAGTTCTTAGGTTGGTAAAATATTCTAATAACTCGAAAAGTTTAGTAAGAGTACTCTAAGGTATGATGTTCATTACAAATTGAATAGATTTTCCAACATATGACTGATCTAATCTAATTTAAGAACACCCACACACATGTATATTCATTGTTTTACCTTATGTTATCATTTAGAGTTATGGTTTCGTTTAGAGTATGTTTAGGGTTTCGTTTAGAGTGTGTTGAGGGTTTCGTTTAGAGTATGTTTAGGGTTTCGTTTAGAGTGTGTTTAGGGTTTCGTATATGGTGTGTTTAGGGTTTCATTTAGGGTGTGTTTAGGGTTTATTTTAGGGTTTGTTTAGGGTTTTGTTTAAGTCCTGCTTAGACAGAACCACATAAAAACATAAATATATGTTCCTTTAATAACCAGAATCAGACATCAGCAATCCTTAAAAACAATAACTGTTCCTTACATCAGAAATCAGAATCCTTGAAAACCATAATTGAAAACCTAACAACTAGAAAGTAAATTAAAACTAGATTCATCACAGAATCTCTGTGTTAGTCGAAGACAAACATTCTGGAGGTTTATACAATGCCATCTTCTCAACCAATTCAGGGTCATTAGCTGCTTCCCAAAGATCCCACAAAATCCTAAGGCGGGCTTCCTTGATATTTTCATCGTTCACTAATGACAAATCCAGTCCAAGCGCAATACACTCGATAAACTTCACCGTGAACACACCACAATGACAAGCACTTATATTTAGCTTCGGCATCGGGACATACGTAACGGTATACGGATCCACAGTGAAATCCTTCTGGTATATTGCTGGCTGAACTGCCTTGACAATACGAGGAACAAGGTTTTTAAATCCATCCACCTCCTTGTACCTTTCTAAACCCGCGCAATCATAGACATCAATGTGCCTGGTCAAGAAACAAACGGACAAAGTGATCCAATGAACCCCACCGACATGAACAGGGACATACAAACGATCCACATCTACATTCCATATCTCGTGTGTTCTTCCATGTGGTGGAAGGACCCATTTGCCGAACTGAACTAGCAAATTATGAAGACTATATGCTCTTTTACCTCGTTTCCAACACTCGTACTCCTTTTTGATCATATTGCTGAAGACAACAGGCATGAAAGCCACACGATTCGGTTTCCATCGTATCAGAGTCGTTCTCTCACGGAATAAATACATCGTGGCATCAATCTCTTGTATATGTAGATAATGTTAATAAACACAAGATACGTAAAAGACAAATAAAAAGGTAATATTCCATACGGTTTACCAAGTTGGAAAGCCACTCCGTAAAATCCATAAGACGATTAGCCATGTCATGATCTAAAATCGCTGGTCCAATCCGTAGCGGTCTGAAACAGGAACCAAAATCATAAACAAAGCTAATTGATTAAAATGCAACAATACATGCTACAAAACTAATTGATTAAACTGCAACAATACATGCTACAAAACCATAAACAAGCTAATTTACTTACGTGGGGGAAGTTGACCAACTTCTTACTTTTTCCCAATCAGATTCACGGATATACACCAATGGGGCATCCGGTGATCCTTCTCCGGCTCGACGTATTAGCTCATCACGTAACTGTGGTGTGGACGTCTTCTTGGCTCGTGATTTACTTTGTTTTTCAAGTTTTTCAACTTTCACTTGAGAAGGATCAAAACCATCAACAAATGTATCTTGGGACAGTTTGTTCATATCTTGTGTACTCAATCCAAAATCAAAATCATTAGTTTCTAAAGCAATCTCTTTCCCGCCCTATTCATAAAACAAAACAACATACAAGAATACATTCAATCTAACCATATTACACAAAGAAGCATATAAAAAGCATGGATTGTTCATTACACAAACAAAGCATTACATTGATGATGTTTTTTAGTTCACAAATAAAGCCTTACACAAGAAGATTTTACAGAAACTAGTTCCATAGCACAACAAACATCCGAAATTATACATAATAATACACAAGGAAAAAATGAGGTTCCAAGAACAACCTAACTCCAAAAGCCTAGCTCCAGCACCCTAAGTCAAGCATCCTAGTTCCACGTATATCAAGTTCTACACTTTCGCTTAGGTTGTACCTTTTTCATTGGTGCAGCTTCATCGGATTTGGTCTTAGGTGGAGGATCAGCTTTGGTCTTAGGTGGAGTATCAGCTTGGGTCTTAGGTGGTCTACTCGTCGATGGAGTGTGCTCAGCTCTGATCTGAGAAATCTCAATCTCTATCATCTCCATCCTCTCTGTAAAATCAGTATTCATCCTCGCTAGCTGCGTACTAATTCTATCCCCAAAGGTTGCCACAGATGTGAGGACGAGAGTCTCTATGAAACACTTTGTTTCAGGATCCAAACCCATCTTTTTCTCAGAAGCTCGCTTACACAACAACTTTTTCTTTCTTGTCTCGGCTCCTTCATCATGAACCTTCCTCTTCCCTTTTCCTGCACCATTAACTGAAGAGGTCTCCACATCTGGTAGCACATCAGCATCAACTTCAGTCTCATCAGATTCTGTGTGAATATCCTCTTTGTCAGCCTTCTCCATTCCAATCTCTTCAGGTTCTACAGGTTTCCATTCTGTGTTGCTCCAATCAAACTTATCTCTGATCCTATCCAAAATAAGGTCCACTCGTTCATCTCGCATCTCACGCTTTCTTGTATAATCAGCATGTAGAGATACATCATCATTACCACTCAATGAGATGACCGAGTACAACTGACCCTAAAAAAAATTTAAAACATCAAAAGCTATACACAAAATATATATAGAAACCATAGAGAATACGAGAACAAATATACATACCGTCAGAGGAAACAAGTCCTCGATCTGAATGATGTCGTCATAAGAAACTTTAGCAGCTCCTTTCCAATTAGCACACCTTGGACCTATGAAGTTCTCAGCCACTCTTTTTCCTAATATTTCTCCAAAATCAGGAACTGCTTCCATAATCCATATCTGAAAAGCATAGCTGAAACCCTCAAAAATGTAGCTCTCCTTGTTTTCCAGTTTCTTCCTAGTCTTGGTAATGGAGCTAAGCAGGAAGTCATAGGAGTGAAGACCCCAAGGAAAGTTACGAACCTTGTCAAGGTCCATCACCAACTTGATGTACATATGAGGGATGTTGACCTTCTCATCTCTTCCCATCACAACACCCATGATCACACACAAGTAGATCAACCTCAACCTATCAACCCGAGTCCAGTTGTGAACTTCTTGTAGATGTTTTTGCCTGATCGACTTCAAGGTGATCCTCCCACCACTCCTTAGCATGTTGCTCCAAAAGCCCCCGTCGTATTTCCATTCAACTACCTCGCTTACATTGTCTTGAGATACCTTGAGGCCAGTGACAACATGATATTCCGGAAGCGAAAAACCGGAGAGGCGTCCTTGCAAATACAAACAACTTCTCATGCCTCTTCGAAGTAACAATCTCTTTACACAAGAAGCTATGCACCAGTTTAGCAGAAAATTTAAGCCGATTTCTCGCAATTTCCATCACATGTGTGAGAACAGGATCACTCTTCACAACACCATACTCTGAAGACATAGCATCATGTAGAAAGTCGAGAAGCTCCATCCGGCAGCTGTTGTTGATCTTCTTAACTTGAGGTTCCAAACCCTGTCCATGCAAATGCTTGGGTAGCTCTAAATCCATACCTACAAAGGAAAAAAAATTTGATTACGGTTCAATACATCACTTACAAAATTATGGATATCACATAAGTTAACAAATTGTAAGCAAACCAAGTCAATTCATCACATATAATAAGTAGACAAACGAAATAGAGACGAAATCAAATGAAACAAACCGAAATCAGTAAAAACAATCTGCAAAAAAGAAACAGTTTATACACACGCTCAATTCATGAAAGTAAAACAATTCACAAACGTAACTGGTTCATATAATCAGCAAAAGAGAAAGACATGCAAAAAAAGAACCGGATCGATGAACATGCAAAGAAGAAATAGAGAACAAGTGAGGTCGATTGATGTCGCTTTACCTTAGTATTACAGATGTCGTTGGAAGAGACAGTAGAGATTTAGAGAGGAAGATATTCGGAGAGGCAGAGAGAACAAGTCGATTGATGTCGGCGGAGAAAGAGATGCAGAGAGGTGAAGAGGCGGAGAGACGGAGAGGTGGTGAGAATAAGACAGCCGCCGTCGAGAGGTGGAGAGGATCTCTCCGTCGTCTTTGTTTTCTTCTCTAAATCACCTTCCCTTTACTAAATGGGAGTTAGGGTTATAGGGAGAGTTCCCTTTTTGTTTTTATTTTTATTTTTTAATTTCATTAACATTTTATAAATTCAGTTTTAATTAAAATTTCCATTTAATTAGATTAATCTAGGGTTAGTTTTGGGGTTATAGAAAAAATTATACTATAAGGACAAGATTGATGTTGGTTTATACTAAGGGGACATGAAACCTATTTTTGTTCTATATTAGCATAATTCATAAAAAAAAGATTGAGATGATTTCCTGAGAGGCAGAGGAAGAGGTACATTACCCATGACCCCACTATTCTAATTCAAAGGAATGATCACACATTATGGAAGCGAGGGGGAGGTAAATTACCCATGACCCCACTATTCGCCTACACTTTTTCAGAAAAATACAAAATGTAGAAAGATCAATAAGATGAGCATTCGTTCTTCATTGGGATTGATATAAAATAAAAAAAAAATTTGGGATTCAGAGAAGGGAGATATAGGGAGAAAAGAAATCAGAATGAGAATGCCTGAAACTTGCTTGAGTTGAATCCAAGTGTTCCTTGATCGATACTCCCAAGGTAAAGCCTACACTTTTATTTTATGCATAAATGAAATCAGTAGAGGGATAGACAAACATGATTGCTAAGTTGATTGGCTAGATGAATTTGGTTGCTAAGCTAGGATATAGTATAATGTACTTCTGTAGTTAATAGATATGAGATGTGGCTTGAAACAAAGTAGAGGTGATGATCTTAAGTTAAGATTTGATTGAGTCCCTGCTATTTTTTCTAAAACTTCTTCCAAAGACTAACTATTGTGTTTTCTTGAGAACAAGCAAAAGGTTAAGTCTGGGGGAGTTGATCTACCATGGTTTTGCCCACTTTTAACCATTGTATTGAGAAGATTTTACAATATATATATGTTTTGGAGTCTATTAGGTATGTTTTCAGGCTCAGGAGCATTTTGGAGTAAAGTTATGATTTAGGTGCCCTTATGGAGCTTAAAGGAGAGTTTTTCCGAGACAACTATGAAGATGAGAAAACAAGGTCAATATCCAGAGATACATATCGATCGATACACATCCTGTGTGATCGATCGACGACGCTTCCGTAGAAGATGACGAATCGAGATACTCCATCGATCGATATCGAGCGTGATGAATAAGTTTGACTCAGCCGACTTGAAGCCCAAGTTCTCTCAATATTACAAGATTGCCCCTGACGAGTTTTTAACCTAATTGAAATCATATTTATAGCTATGCCTATATGTTTTGACAAAGTATGCTTTTATGTTTTGGTGCTTTTGTGTGCCTTTTATGCTTTTGAATACTCATTAGTTCTTTGATTTATAAAATATTCTTTTCAACTTATTCTGATTATCAATCAAAAGGTTATAGAATTCTAGATTTAGAAGACCACACAAAGAGATTTGTTGTTCAAAAGAACCAAGTGTTCAATCTTCTAATCTTATGAATTTCTATTATTACCTTGATGCTATGAATCACTTAGCCATGTTTGAGTAGATTCACTTGTTAGATTTGGCGTTCAAATAGTTATGAGAGATTAGCCCCAACTATAGATTGTTGAGTTGTGATATTCATTATCCTGATGAACCTTAATGCTTACTCTAGAGTAGCTAACTAGAGTATGATCCTGGAATGATTAACTTGTTAATCATCATCCTGAAATCATCTAGCATAAGCTGAGGTCCTCTAGGGATGAGCGAGAACCGGTCTGTGATCTTGGTGAACACATATTCAATTCGATCTGAAGCTATCTCGATCGATACTCCTATAGAGTAATCGATCGACAGCAACCCATATTGCCGATATCACTGTCAAAAATCGGTCGATATTGCTGGCAGTCAGATCAATGGACGAGTCTAGATAGCGATTGCTAATAGACTTATCTAAGAGTTGAAGTTCTTTAATATCTTGCAAGCAACTTATTAAGATATCTATAGCATTATAATCCTGATTATCTGAATAGCAACCTTGAATCTAAATACTTTCTTTTATTGTTTAAAACCGAAACCAATTCTCTTGAGAAACTCACCATTGCTCACAACTGCAATTTACTTTTAAACTTAATCAACCCACCATAATCACTAAGGATTATATCTTTTGTGTTCCTTAGTTCCTTGTGGATTCGATCCCTAAGTACTACAACTGAACCTCTTATTTGAGAGAGTAATTCACTCCTTAGGATAATTTGAGTGATATCAAAAAGCTTCCAAAGCTATACCCCATACAAGTTCCGAAGGGTATCTACATCTACAAACTTTTAAAGAGACAGTTCCAAGTCTCCATACCTTGATGAGCGTCTAAAGAAGACACGACCAGGAGAAAGGCAGGGGCAAAAGTACACGTACAGCGGATTCTTACAGATACATGTGATCTTCATCAGCCGAACAATTGTGTATGTCCATTGTAGCATTCTACTACACTGAACTCATGGCTCTTCCCCTGATCAAGCTGCACGCTGCATTGACAAGCCATCTAGAAGGCTACGTTCCATCAAAGGCCTAATCCAAGAAACAAAATTTGCCATCTCTTGAAGCGTGAGAATAAGATCTCCACTCCTCCAAGGTCCCGCTACAAGTCTAAGGACCTTGCATCCAGCGGACGAGCATCAACGCTCACTGAAGCATCAGAAAGTCCATCTCAGTCAGACCCCGCGTCACTAGGAGAGAATTCCATCAGGGTGTAAGTCCGTCATCCACCAAAACACAAGAGCAGGGCCCGTATCCTGCAAGTTTGTCTTCGAACAGGTCTAGCACTTGGTGTTAAGGTATTTTCTGGTACAAGCGATTCGTGCTCAGACTATGGAATGATAGGAGGAAGGAGACAAGTCGTGACAAGGGTTTCTCCTTGTTCAGTTGTTGATG